ACTATTTGTATTACATATATTATTAATGGCAGCTAGGAAGATAATCACTGTGAATTGGATGAAGATGCACGAACCTACTCTGACAGAATGGACACAGAGACTGAATCAGGTATATATATATATTTGAGAAAATGGCAGCGGATTTACAGTTGAAATCTGACATTTTCCAACAGAACTGGGCACTAACAGAAACATATTTGCTTGACCTTTAAAATGTTATCAGGGGTTTTTTGTAGTTATCTGTATTTAGTTTAAGTTATTAATAACTTAACACACAATAACACTTTTTCCAGAGTGTGTCTAAAAAATCCATATTAAGAGGGTGAATGCATACTGAAATAAGAAATTGACTTGGTGTAAACGAAGCCAAAATGTCTCTGTGAATAAGCATTTGTGTTATGAAGAAAAAACACCATTCTAAAGACAACAACTGTGAAATGGGCACAGACAACAATAATTTTCCATGGCAACATCTCGAGTGCTGCCAACACTGGGGTAAATAAGAGAAAGACTTGTGATGGGGCTTGTCATGAGACAAAGGGGTTAAGCATTTTCTTCAACACAGCCATTATACTGCTACTGGGGAAACTTGTGAGAGATCCAGAATATGAGCATCATTACTCTGAGATCAGAAAAAAGACGGATTACATCGTGCTGTTAACTCCGTTCACTGATAAAAGATGAATACTCATTAAAAGAGTGAAAAGAATGAAAATGAAAAAAGAACAACTTTCTAAAGACTCTCCTCTAGTGAAGTGGACACATCTTTAGCTTCACGCCAAAAGATCTTATATTTCATTTGAGTTATGTATGTATGTTTGCAGTTTGTATTGAATGTAATTAAATAAATAAAAAATACTGTCAGAAAACATCTTTTGATTGAGTTGTACTTGCAGGGTGCATGTAAAAACAAATTATTCTAATGAGCTGGCTCATTTTAGTGGATCAAAAATATATTGCATGACCACTGTTCTGATTCACAAACAAATGACTCTTACGAACCAGTTCATTTAAGTGAGTAAAAACTTACAGCTTGATCATTGTATTTCAATTCACGAACAAATGACTCTTATGAACAGGTTCATTTTAATGAGTAAAAAACATACCGCATTTCCAGAGTATCTCGATTCATGAACAAATGACTATTATAAGGTGTTCTTACTCATGACTTGTTCAAAAAGACAAGTTTGAATCAGTCTGACAAATCCTTCACTCAGCAGTTACTAAACCAACATCTGATTTGCCTACTGCAAATGATCATTGTCATACCATGCAATATTTATTGTAAAAATATGACAATGTGCCATTAAACATACAGATTTGCAACAGAGTTTTAATATATATCCTGTATATATATTTAGTATATAAATGTAGTAGAGTAGACTGAATTCTGTAGGAAACACTGGCCTGAACCTATTCATTACTGTATGAGCCCATTTTTGGACTCACTGTATCCGAGGAGTCAGCTGTGAGTAAATCCCATGGTGTGAGAGCTAACAGTCCACAGGGAGAGGGAGAGGGCAAGGGAATGCCCAGCAGTGAGTGGGTTTCCAGGGCAGACACACGAACCCCTCCTCTATGACATCATGCTTTCTGGGAAACACTGCAGACACTGGACCCACTGTCCACTGAAAACTCTGTGTGACTATATCTCCCTGTGGGATTTCCTGTTTATTTACCCCTCTCTGTGTAAAACACACACACACACACACACTCCCAAGGTAAGGGACATGGCATATTCTCCCAAATAATTACACTTCCATGCAAAAACATCTTCACAAAGATAAAGGAATAAGATACAAAAATGCTCAGCTCTGCACATCAATAATGACTCAAATAATAACCACAGGTATTTGCAACTAACAATATAATCCCTGTGGGATTAACAATCCAAATAAAAGATGAATGTATTCAGCCTCTGGCCACACTTACTCAACCCCAATGTCTTTATATTTCAAAGAAGAGATTTATGTCAAACAGTCACTGAATTCAACCCTGGCTGTGGATCCCAGAGGGGACTGCAAAACATTTCGAACACAAACCCCAAATGAATCAATGGATCAATGGATAAATGAGTGGATGAAATCAACAACAATTTCCCCTCCTACTCAAAGCATTCTGAAATAATTCCGCTCCAACTCCACTCTGGGTTTTATATTTTCCATTTACTGCTGAAAGAAATCCTGCAACAGTTCATGCCATAGAATTCATTTACAGCTTTCAATATGTTTTCTTTTATAATAGCTAGAATGCACAAGATAAAGTAAAATTTATGCAATTTCTATTCTATTCTATTTAAATATATTTTAAAATGTAATTTACTCCTGTAGTGGTAATTACAGTGCCTTTTTCAGAATTCATCAGAAAGTTCAAAAGAACATGCTTTATTTATTTGAAATAGAAATCTTTTGTAACATTATAAATAGGGATGCACGATATATCGGCCACCATATCGGTATCGGCCGATAAATGCTCATTTTTTCTGTTATCGGTATCGGCCTGATAAGAAAATTTGGCCGATATCTTAAAGCCGATAAATAATGCATTATTTCCTTCAGAGACACTTCAGATGCGCACTGTTCGTTTGCAGCCTTTTGTGCAATTGTACATTGTAATATTGTGTTTATTTGATGTATATCTGATTTATCTCATATAGAATGCGTTTGGTTAAGTTAAAAAGAGCGCTTCAGTTTACCGGTGATCATCTTTAGCTCAGCACACGCAGCCCAAACAGCAGTGCACAACATTAATAACTATGATTGGGAATGTCGTGTATATAAAATTCTAATGAGAACATTATTATAATAAAACATTGTGAATTCTTTGGGTTTAGTTGCCGTGTTTCAGCGCGTTGTTATGGGAAGAGCGCATCCACAACAGGATCACACATTCTGACTATAGCATGCAATAACTGCGTCATTTTGTACATATATAAGTTGTAATATTATGTTTATGTTGTATTAATATTAATCTCAGGATGCATTTCCTTGAGTTAAATAAGCTGCCAGCAAAACGCTTCAGTTTACCATGTTCATTCAGCTCTTCAGCTTCAGCACGCGCAGCTCAACGGCTGCTATTTAAAACAGTGGTATTAATTTGTTACTTTTTCAAAATCATTGATATATTATTAATAACAACAACCACTTGTATTGTTCTCTTATTATTTTCATCAACAATATGGTTTAGTAATTAAAATCATTTAATTATTGTCCGTGCAGAGGCTATTCCGTTTTATTGATCTGTGGCGCATTCATTTTGATTCTTTACACGTGTAATGATGTCCAGTGACTTGTTTGCATTATTTATGCATTATTTTATTTATTTGTAAGACTTTTTTATGACTAAATTTGGTAATGGGAGAGTAAAAATATTTTTAAAACGTACACCGTTCAAACTAGGCTGCTTATGTTGAAGTGTTTGGGATGTGGCTTTTAATGATGAGACCTTTTTTGTAATCAGGCTCTCAAAAAGTATATAACAATTTGGATATAGATTTATCGGCCAACATATCGGTTATCGGCTTTCAAAAATAAAGAATAATCGGTTATCGGTATCGGCCAACATTTTCATATCGGTGCATCCCTAATTATAAATGCCTTTACTGTCACTTTTGATCAATTTAAAGCGTCCCTATGGAATCAAAAGTATCAATTCTTTAAAAAAAATTAGAAATCTTATTGTATAAAATACAAGTGTATTGGCAGGGGGTTAAAAGGGAAATAAGTTACATTTTTGGATGTGACATACCAATGCACCCAGTATTTTTTCTGCTTGATGGTTTCCCCCCAGATCAGTTAAGTAAATCCCAACTATTTGTATTACATATATTATTTAGGCCACGACTTCCCCCTGATAATACAAAAATGAACCAGTGATTTCAATAATAAAGCAGACAGTAGGTGGTATGACCAAAATCTTGTAATATCATATGTGTAATTTAACATAAGGTAACAGTTTTATATCATTATATACTTATTTTGCAATAAATCAATAAATTAATACAAAATTCAATGAAAAAAAAATAAGAACGCACAAATTATTATTATTAATTATACATGTTAATTATAAATAACTAATAATTGAATAACAGTTAAATATAATATTTAGCAAATCTGATGAATATAAATTTTTCCAACTGTACATTATAATGTTGTGATGACTTATAGCATTTAAAATGACTGATTTTAGCTTTTATTGTTTTATTTTTTATTTATTTAGACAAAATATTACAGAATTTTATTATTAGTCCATTTTTGGTTATCAGTCATTACATGAAAATAATTACTGCTTAATCAGTACCTAACCCTAACCCTAACCCTAACCCTACCAGTTCGAATTTTAATATCCCTAAAATATATTAAATAACCATGTGAAATTAATTTAAAAATGAAAGGCTATTCTAAGTTTAATGCAAACCAAAAGATTCTGCATTAATAGCGTATGGACTGTTCTATATTAAACAATATAATAAAACACTGCTCACCAGTTTCTGGAAGAGGTCGCCCACACATTGACTGTGGCTCCACTGTTGCACTCTGGGTAACAGGCCATCATAAAAGTCTTTGTGGATCTCATGGAGCTCAGGCACTTTGAAGAAAATGGTTTCTATCTGCTGGAGGGTTAACATGGGCTGAGAGGTGGTGGCAGCAGCTTTCAGGGGCTTCATGGGCTGAGAAAAAACAAAACAAATCAGGAGGTCAAAAGGGGGTCCCCCATTTGTAACCACTGGGTGCAGTTTAACGAGCTCAGCTGCACTATAATGGTGATCTTTGACCCTCTTTCGTGAGCAAGTGTGCAGTAAAACAGACCCAGCAATGCCTGAAGACTGTATTACTCACCAGTAAGAGCGCCTCCAAGTGGCTGAGATATGCCTCCTCACTGGCCAGGATCCCTGATAAGACCCATTTTCTCATCTCCAACCCTTTTTCGACATCCAGCTCCGACTAGGAATGTCCATGATGAAGAAAGTGCCCGTTACACAAACACATATTGGGTTCAGCCAAAAACACATATTCCTGTCTACAGTCCAGGCATTCCCCACCAATGCACCCAGTATTTTTTCTGCTTGATGGTTTCCCCCCAGATCAGTTAAGTAAATCCCAACTATTTGTATTACATATATTATTAATGGCAGCTAGGAAGATAATAACTCTGACAGAATGGACACAGAGACTGAATCAGATATATATATATTTGAGAAAATTACAGCGGATTTACAGTTGAAATCTGACAATACAGCAAAGAAACATTCTAGTTTGTCATGAGATCTATGCTCCTGGCTACAACAGCCTAATACTTTTCAACCCCAGCATTTTTGACCTCAGCCCACCATTCTAAGAGCAAGACCCCCTAGCTGCTTTACATGCAGTCATGTGGCTCTGAAATGCTTTCATCTGCATGAGCGTCAAGTCCTGCAGGCGTCTATAAAGATGGGGGTAAAGTTTCAGTTTCCACAGCTAATTGTGCCAAGTGGAATCATGTGGCTGTTGCTCGTGAAGCTCACAAAACCAGTTATCAAAGGAAATTTTCCTTAGGGAGGACCAGAGAGACATGCTTTGATGATGATTGCGTTTATAAACCGTCTCAAAAAATCTCTCTCGGGAGGTCTGACAGAAACATCATGTATGGAATTAGACACGGGCATGTGGCATCAAGTGACGGCACAATTCAGTTGTTATAATGAGTAACAGTAACACTAGCTTATTAGCCCCGCCTTTCTGAAACGCATCGATTTTTACAAAGCTCATCATTTGGAAAGTGTACGCTAATTGGCCAGCTATCCAGTGCGTTGTGATTGGCCGAATACCTCAAGCGTGTGATGGAAATATTGCACCTCTTACCATATTTTGATGCCTTGTGTCCCGGCGCGACAAGACAAAAACAATAAAAACCCATTATAAACGACTGATAAGACCCATTTTCTCATCTCCAACCCTTTTTCGACATCCAGCTCCGACTAGGAATGTCCATGATGAAGAAAGTGCCCGTTACACAAACACATATTGGGTTCAGCCAAAAACACATATTCCTGTCTACAGTCCAGGCATTCCCCAGCAGTGTTGGGAGTAACGCATTACAAGTAACGCGAGTTACGTAATCAGATTACTTTTTTCAAGTAACTAGCAAAGTAACGCATTACTTTTTAATTTACAAGAGAATATCTGAGTTACTTTTTCAAATAAGTACCGCAAGTTACTTTTTTTCCAATTTATTGATTGACAGCTCTCCTGTCCCCATGTTGAGAGAAATCAGAAGATGTAACTGTAGTTCTAAAATAAATATGAATATGCATTAATTCATCTCACACACAAAAACAAAAAAAAACAGATTCAGTATTCCTCAAAATGAATACAAATAATGCAACTCAGAATATGATGCAAACCTGCAATAATTAAATGTTAAACAACACAAATATCCTTTATGTATTTAATCCCATTCTATTAAAGGGATCATATGATGCTGCTAAAAAGAACATTATTTTGTGTATTTGGTGTAATGCAATGTGTTTATGCGATTTAAGGTTAAAAAAACATTATTTTCCACATAATGTACATTATTGTTGTTCCTCTATGCCCCGCCTTTCTGAAACGCATCGATTTTTACAAAGCTCATCATTTGGAAAGTGTACGCTAATTGGCCAGCTATCCAGTGCGTTGTGATTGGCCGAATACCTCAAGCGTGTGATGGAAATATTGCACCTCTTACCATATTTTGATGCCTTGTGTCCCGGCGCGACAAGACAAAAACAATAAAAACCCATTATAAACGAGGCATTTGTTGCATCCAGTGGGGACATAATTACAGATTATAATCTTTTTACACGTTGCGTTGCATATCACGCTGCGTAAACATAAAACCATGTCTGCATTTGTGATCGGAGAAACGACAAACAACAAGCGCTACTCCACACTGCTCAAAACTCGCATTTGAATCGTCAGTGGCAAATTCTTTAAATATGAAAACGTACTTACAGACTGTGAGTCAGAAGTGCCAGACTGTCCTTTAAAAGTTGGAACTGCCCCACTTTATAGAAACAGACACCAGCATTGTAGGCTACTCTCTCAGGAAACAGTCCTCGTCCTCCGCAAAATGCGCTGCACACATCTGAATATTTGGGTTGAACTGTTCCGGAACAGTGTTGTAAATACAACGTAACCACTGATTTCTAGTCGTGTCCTCTTTTGGAAGACCAAACAAAGTAGTTTCGCTTTCACAACAAAACACACAGCGCCTGCACAACATGGCGGCGGCGGCGGCAACAGCGAGAACAAAAGTTACACCTTCTTTCTTTGCGTGAACATTTGGGTGGCGTTATGCAAATCTTCCCACAAAGTGACGTAGACATGTGGGGGTGTGTTAGAACGAGCCGTTTTAGGTAGGTGTGGTTGACTCTTAACTTTTATAAAGAATATCTCTTTGGATTTGAGACTTTAGTCTTTGCAACTTTACAGATCTTCTTTATGCACCAAGGGCTTGTAACACTCCAAAAAGAGAAAGGAAAAATTGAAATGGCATCATATGACCCCTTTAACCAATGTCTTTGCTTCTGACCTTCGATGATCCAGTTCAACCATACTAATAAGCAAAAATCTTACTCTAGACAAACATTTGTGTGTCTTTTTTTATTGCTGAAGTGTGTTGAAATTTCTTCTTCTGCATTCTACTGTACGGACATAAATTTACTTTCCCTTCAGCCTGAGGTTTATTCATTAAACTTTTGGTGTGAAAAGGCTTTTATATTTGCCAAAAATATAACTTTTTTTATTTTAAAAACAAACAAGCAAGCCCTGTCCAGATTTAAAAAGTAACGCAAAAGTAACGTATCGCATTAACTAAGTAACGTAATTAGTATGGAGTAAATCAATATTGTAATGCATTACTTTTAAAAGTAACTTTCCCCAACAAAAACTGTTCCTCAGTAGGGTAATCTGGTCACACCTTTTTTTAAGGTCCAGTTCTCACTATTAACTAACTATTAACTACGAATTTTGCCTTAATAAACTCTTAATAACTGCTTATTAATAGTTAGTAAGGTAGTTGCTATGTTTAAGGATGTAGAATATGGTCATGCAGAATATGTGGTTTATAAGTACTAATAAACAGCCAATATGCTAGTACTATGCATGCTAATAAACAACTATTTAATAGTGAGAATTAGTCCCTATACTAAAGTGTTACCAGTAAACCTCATAAAAACCTAAATCCTATCCCATACAGATTTACAGAGGTCAACCATAGACCACATAATCCCATATATGAATAAAGATAAAGAAAACAGAGGTCAAAAGTTCAGAGCATTCACACATTTGCATAACCACAAATGTTAAAGGATCCTTAAACCTAAAGTATAGGTAGCTACTGACTGATAAACTAAATGTAGATATTACAATTCAGGTTGATACCAATTAGCTGAAATAATGAGCAGATCATGTTTTTACAATATATCATGCATCCATAACAATAATCATCTTACAAAAGACAAGACTGGGCTTTATTTAATGACTAAAACTAGTTCTCTGTATCTTAATGTCCCTTACTGATTTAGTGGACTCCAGGGACCCCGAGGAAGGGGTCTCTCTAAAGCTTCGACCCTTCTGGTGAAGGCGCGGAGAGGAGAGGGAGTCATCCGTGTATGATGCGACATCAGGCTGCATACGCTGGTCCTCCCCTCGATCGCCATCATAAACGTATGCTGGAGGCGGGGTCCCGCTAAACGGGATGTCTGCAAATGTAGAGAAGAGAGAGGTTGGATTGTCATACTTGACTAACAAGTGTAACATATGATTTTATTCACTTTTAAATCATATCAATAATTCAAAATTAGTGTAAAGTGTAATATACAGTATTACAAATAATAATATACAACTGGGCTTTATTTAATGACTAAAACTAGTTCTCTGTATCTTAATGTCCCTTACTGATTTAGTGGACTCCAGGGACCCCGAGGAAGGGGTCTCTCTAAAGCTTCGACCCTTCTGGTGAAGGCGCGGAGAGGAGAGGGAGTCATCCGTGTATGATGCGACATCAGGCTGCATACGCTGGTCCTCCCCTCGATCGCCATCATAAACGTATGCTGGAGGCGGGGTCCCGCTAAACGGGATGTCTGCAAATGTAGAGAAGAGAGAGGCTGGATTGTCATACTTGACTAACAAGTGTAACATATGATTTTATTCACTTTTAAATCATATCAATAATTCAAAATTGATTTTTTTTTCTCATTTTGTCTCTCATAGTTGAGGTATACCTATGATGAAAATTACAGGCCTCACTCATCTTTTTAAGTGGGAGAACTTGCACAATTGGTGGCTGACTAAATACTTTTTTTCCCCACTGTATACAGTATTACAAATAATAATATACAATATAACAATAGTACATAATTTATCATCCATTGCCAGTAAGTGTCAAACAACCAAAAATGGGTTTTCAAGTCAAGCTTTCCATCTTAATTTTGAGTGCTTGAAATAATCAATACGTCCTTTTACCAGAGAGTGTCTCGTACATCTCTTGTTATCTCTTAATGTAATCCACACAGAGGACCGAAACCTTAGCCAAAAAGACTTGTTACAGGCTGAGCTTTTTCCTCAACGCAATAAAGACCTTGACGTATAATTGAAAGCAACAGATAAAGTCTGCCAAGCGAAGACTACCAAAGCCATTAGTAATTCATCACCCATTTCAAATTTATTCTTGGAAACATTATCTACCATCTCGCTAAATCACAGCCTCAATTAAGCCTCCTGTTCATTATTAATGCATGATGCTGCAACTGAATTATTAAAAATGTGTGTAGTAAAATTCAGCGATTGAATTGTAATTTTCCCTCGGACAATATGAATACGGATTGGATGTTTTATACTTACAAAAAGCATATTTATTTGTATGATTATTATTATTTATATTATTATTCTAGAAGTCCACCATCATGCGCTGTTCA